ATCTTGTTCGAACAAATTTTCGGTTGTAATTTCTTTTCAAACCTTAATTGTTTTTAAATTTTTCCACTTGAATTTAAAAAATATGGAGGGGAACCATTTTAACGACTCTACAATCATGTGTCATAAAGTATTGTTTTCAATCTAAAACTAATTAGAGCAATGTATTTTTAACACTGTGTTTTTTTCCTTATTATATTCCTCAGTTGGGTGAACGAGCTAATGGGCTACATGATGTTAAATGGTCACCGGGGCCTATAGACATCACAACGTGCTGCCGCCTTAAGACATGAGTAAGTCCACCTCTTCGAGTTGTCGTACTTAACGAATGTTCCCGAATAACTCCCTTAATAAAGAACAACATCGTGTAATAAAAAAAACAAACCCGCAAAATTATAATTTGCGTAATTATTATATGAAAGACGTCATTCCTTCATCGTGGAAGTAAATCGTTAGCATGTGTTGAGCACGTATTTCATTTAAAAAATTGATACTTGCCCGCGTGATTTTAATACTGATATAATTGCATCGCGCGATACGAGTGCACCCGGCGTCACTTATCCTTTAGGCCGCGACGACTTACGATTGGCATTGCAGTCTAGGTTGATGTGAGACATTTGTTTATCGACGTCGCACTTTTGTCGCATTAAGTTGAAACCCCTTCAATTCAGTTAATCCCGATTTTGCAGGATAGCCGTCGGATCACCGTGGTTCTTAAGGAATGTGAATCTCCATGATGACCTGAAGCTGGACTGAGTAAGTATTTACAAACGGCATCAGTGCGCCACTTTGAGAAGGCGGCACGTCTTAAAAACCCTCTTGTCGTGGCTGCCGGAAATTACATACCCGATCCTGTGGACCGAATGATATACAGTCGATGTCACCCTACGCACGTCATTATGGATCCTCCCGATCCATTAACGGTGCTTTAGGGTACCACAAGCACCGGTCATCGTTATTGTCGAGCCCGGCGCTTGCGACGAAGGGCTGGACGAGTAAATTAACCCATAGACACAGCCCACTGAGTTTATCGCCGGATCTTCTCAGTGGGTCGCGTTTCCGATCCGGTGGTAGATTCTGCGAAGCACGGCTCTTGCTAGGGCCAGTGTTAGCAACACTTCCGGTTTGAGCCCCGTGAGCTCACCTACATGTTAGGGTGAACCTGAAATGGCCTCTCAAGGCTATCAGCATAGCAATTTTTTTTTATTGCCCTTGTTGGCAGACGAGCATACGGCCCAGCTGATGGTGAGTAGTTACCGTCCAATGGACTTCAGCAATGCCAGGGGCAGAGCCAAGCCGCTATCTACCAAAACTTACAACACTTACACTTAGAAAACTTACTGACGCGCTTGCGCGAACTCGAATTTTTTCAAATATTTTCAGCTTGGTAAAAACGAAATGATACCATCATCGCATCGGACCGCCCGCCGCGGAGTACAGTTCATCCATACTACCTGGAGCCACTGCGGTCATCCACAGTGCGTTTTCAGAGATCTTTTTTGCCGCGTACCATCTGGCTATGGAATGAGCTTTCCTCCACAGTGTTTCCCGAACGTTATGACATGTCCTTCTTTAAACGAGGCTTGTGGAGACTATTAAGTAGTAGGCAGTGGCTTGGCTCTGCCTCTGGCATTTGTGAAATCCATGGGCAACGATAACCACTCACCATCAGGTGGGCCGTATGCTCGTCTGCCTACAAGGGCAAAAAAAGCTTTAGAATCAACAGTGGCAGTCAACGATGCAGTCCAATTAACTGTCAATGGGGAAGAACACCATCAGTAATTCTAGATAGATCTAGTAAAATCGTGCTATGAAAAGTTGAATGAAAACTTCCTTTTAAAACAATGTATTAGACCTTGCTTCGCTGGTCGGTTAGTAGCTATTACTACTATACCACGGGATCCGAGATCGATACTCAGTCCGAGAATAAGATAAAGATTAACGTTTGTAATCCTTCTTCAAACGAGGCTTGTGGAGAGTATTAAACGGTAGACAGCGGCTTGGCTCTGCCCCCGGCATTGCTGAAGTCCATGAGCGACGGTAACCACTCACCATCAGGTGGGCCGTATGCTCGTCTGCCTACAAGGGCAATAAAAAAAAAAACGTTTGTAATAAATTTGTTCGTCAATTGGGTCTGAATGCACTGGCCTCTTGACTCTCGTATTTCTGGCAAAAAACACACAGGAGCGTGGTGAGGCCATCTAATTTCAATGAAACTTATTTTTTACTGCCTCGTGAAGTCTAGATTGTTCCTGCATACAAAACAATTCGATACACGTGTGTACTGCTCTTATCTCGCACATTAAAAAGTTCAAACGAGAATGGTCAGAGAAGAAATGATAAACAATTTGATTCTATAACATTTTTAGTTATCATTTTCCTGTTTGTACATATTTTCATCTTATATTTATCGATAATGGTTTTGTGTGTTTACGAGTATTTTTATAAAACACGTTTTATTTAACGATAACGTCGTAATGATTATTTATATCCATCGGTTGACAATTTATCAGTAACTACTGACTCGGCGAACTTTATTCCGCCTTAGAGGCAACAAATGAGCAGAATTTTGATTTTATCAAGGTCAATTGTTTATTTGGATAATTTTAATGTATATTAAAAAAGCAATACTTTAATGATTCTTTATTGGCCATGTATTTGAGTTGTTATTATTATTATTATGTTTTCTTGTTCTTCTTCAGTCCTTTCACTCGCAAAGTTTCAAATCCTAGTTGCATTACAGCTTCGTCGNCCTTAGAGGCAACAAATGAGCAGAATTTTGATTTTATCAAGGTCAATTGTTTATTTGGATAATTTTAATGTATATTAAAAAAGCAATACTTTAATGATTCTTTATTGGCCATGTATTTGAGTTGTTATTATTATTATTATGTTTTCTTGTTCTTCTTCAGTCCTTTCACTCGCAAAGTTTCAAATCCTAGTTGCATTACGGCTTCGTCGGGAAAGATTTGATCGTGTTGGTCGTGGCATGGCCTTCTTAATGATTGCCTATCTTGGCCCAATAACTCGAAACAAACACATCAGCCGGTCAACTGCAAAATTCTACTTTAATTAACCATAGACTACATAACGTTTAGCTGTCAGTTGCGTTTTGTTATTCCATATCAGTTGCGTTTTGTTATACCACGTTTTATGTCACGTCCCGCGGGAACGTGATAAAAATCTTATGTCCTTCTCCTGGTTCTAAGCTACCTCCTCACAAATTTTCAGCCAAATCAGTTCAGCCGTTCTTGAGTTATAAATAGTGTAACTAACACGACTTTTTTTTTATACCTATATATAGATGAGACGATTACTGGTAAAAGTGCAAATGTAATTAAATAGCTCTTTGACTACCGCAGTTACTGGCGGCAGGACCTCTTGTGAGTCCGCGGGGGTAGGTACCACCACCCTGCCTATTTCTGCCGTGAAGCAGCAAAGCGTTTCGGTTTGAAGGGTGGGGCAGCCGTTGTAACTATACTAAGACCATAGAACTTATATCTCAAGGTGGGTGGCGCATTTACGTTGTAGATGTCTATGGGCTCCAGTAACCACTTAACACCAGGTGGGCTGTGAGCTCGTCCACCCATCTAAGCAATAAAAAAAATACATATCAACCGCAAGTTTAAAGGACAGCAAAATTTACGTCGCAATCTCACTCTTATGTTGAGAAGATTGAATGCTATTACTCCACACATAGGTACATATTATTATATTGTATTTGCTCGTCGAAAAATTATCCTAGAGATTTTATACTTTAACATTCACGTCTACAATGTGCATCAATTGATCAAAATATCTGATGATGAGCGGTTACCGTCCCTCATGGATGTCAACAATGCGAGGAGCACAGCCAAGCCACTGCCTACAAGCTGACTACAATTTCCATCGTCGTCAAACTTCCAGCAAAAAAAATTATTAACCGAAAGAAAAGCTAAAAATATTGTTTACATTCGATTGTTATTCAATTGCAATACTTCAGCGGGGCTGGCGGGACTCATGTATGTACATGTCTCAACTCTGTAATAATTCGTCACCAATGCTGATGATAGTTCTTCTATTCATCATTGTTCTTACTGCCCAACTAGATTTTGTCCTAGCGTCATAGCTGTTTGCCCATTTTCCGTTTCAATATCAAGAACAGCATCATTTGAGAACGTGGTCTCGACCCCATGACACCGGCTCGCACGTGTACACGAACAAAAAGTGAAAACACTCAAATTACATACATAATAATATGTAAAAATGTTTATTGTAAGTTAATTCTAACCTCTGTAATCTTAACAGTGATAAGAATATTTTTGTTTTATCTAATAATTTTTATCTATGTTTATTTATTTTTCGGTAGCTATACTTTAGTTTCAAGTTAATTTCTTTAAGCAATTGATTTGGCTCCAAGAAGCAATCTTTAGTTCTAAAACTTAAAGAAGAAATACCTTGGAATGTTTTAGAATTGCTAACGACATTTAGGGATAGTGCTTAACCGTGTCCAAGTTAAAGTACAAGTTAAAAATAATTCGTTAATTATGCCCGAATAACCATTAATAATTTTAAAAGGTAATTTGGTAATTATATTGCTAATTGTGACGTAATTATGCCAAACATATTGTCTGAGGAATGACAAAAAACTACACTTTTTTTTGTTATTTGAGTAGCACACGATGAGAAACGAAAACCATTTAAATTGAAGACAACATTATTCAAACTCACAAGACATTCGTTACAATTTTAAATAGCTTTATAACGCTATTAATCACATTACCAACCGCAATCGATTTATAATCGTTCCTACAGATACCAATAAAAGATATACAGATAATAAATAAACTGACCGAGGCGTCCGCGCGACATCACAATAAAACTACAGACCCGACGCGCAAGCTCGCGAGGTGGGGAGCTTACCATGCGGGGCGGGCTCTATGTACGGAAAGCTCGCACGCCGGTTGGAGGCCTCGCGGCCCCAAAGCTCGAGAGGCGTCGCCCGCCAGCCTCCGTATATAATGCGACGCCCGCCTTCGCGCCCGCCAGTCCGCACCTCGCTCGCAGTGTTTACGCACGCGCAGCGCGTTCCCAACGATACTCAGTGCTACAGTGATACAAAATGGTGAAGTTCGAAGGAGATTTCAGTATAAACTCTATACTGATGAATCATGCAGCCTCCAAGGCCCCGCTCTCTCCGGCGCCTTCCACTGAGGCCTCGCCCTCCGAGACGGACCTCAGCGATTCCGAGCTCGACGTCACCGGAACCGAACCCGTCGACTGCTCCAAGCCCAAGGACGACGACAACGGCGAAAAGAAACATGAGAAGCCAGCGTACAGCTACAACGCTCTCATCATGATGGCGATAAGGAACAGTCCCGAGAAACGACTCACGCTGAACGGCATATATGAATACATCATGACCAACTTCCCGTACTACAGGGAAAACAGACAAGGCTGGCAGAACTCGATCCGACACAACCTGAGCCTCAACAAGTGCTTCGTGAAGGTGCCGCGACACTACGACGACCCCGGCAAGGGCAACTACTGGATGCTGGACGCGTCGGCCGACGACGTGTTTATCGGCGGCACGACCGGGAAGCTGCGGCGGCGGTCCGCGCTGACGGGCCGCGCTCGGCTTGCGTGCTTCAAGCGGCCGCTGTTCCCGGGAGCCGCGCCCTACCCGCCCGCCGCCTACTCGCAGCTCGTCGGCCTCTACTCGCAGCTTCTCTACCAGAGGTACGCGCCGATGCAAATGAAGACCATGCCGGTGGCTCCCAGCGCTGTCCATCCCGCATTCCGTGACGCTGTCGGGTACAGCGCGTTGCAGTACTCACCCTCTTTGTATGATCGGATGCCGACGGCGCCATTCCTGGGCCAGGCGTCCCTTCTGGCAAATACCCCACTGGCGCAGCCCCAGCTGCTGACTCCATCGCCACCATCGCTACACTCTCCGCCGACCTCTGGCTCCTCCAGTCCGGAACTGCCCTCGCCGTCTCATCATCCTCTCTCGCCACACATCTACAAGCCGGTGACGGTTCTCACGAGGCAGTGATCGCTTTGAATCTCAAGGAGGCTAAACCAAATACTCAGGAGGAGGATCGGAACTATTGTTTTATCTGTGATTTAGTTAGTAGTGTTGCACGGACCAGTGGGTGAAGCGCGACATTCCGTTGTATTGTAAAGTTGTGTATAGTTCCAAAGCTATGTATGTATATTTATTAAATTAATTAGGATTAAGCTAAAACAAATATAATAAAACTACTATTGTTCTCATTTATAAACTTTCTTTCATTTATTAACCTTAACTTGAGCTCTTGGAAGTCATTTAACCCCGCCATAACGGTTAAAAGGTAATGCTCAAAAGAGATTTAAAAACGCATTGAATATTTCAAAATAGCATTAAATAAATCGAAAATAGTTTATCACTTGCAGCAATCGCTAGCTTGTTTTTTACGTAACTAAAATAGTGTGTGTAGAGCTATATTTTGTACAGCTCGTTAACTTTATAATCCGATAAAAATATTAGTAAACATAACAGCAAAACAATAGTGGAAGGAGATAAAACGTATTAAATGAGTTGTACAATTTTATCGTGAGATAAAGAGCGAATGTTTGATGATATCGTATGTGCGTCCAAAATATTATCTAATCACTGAAATATAAGTACGTAATACGCGATTTATTTTATTTTACAACATCGTATAACATTTTCTGAAAGTCTGTGAGATAAAATCAAATTCAAGCGAATTCCGGGCAAACTTCACTGCTTTTTAGCGACGGAAATGAATTGAAAAATTTGTTAAAAGTAATCAATCATTCGGCACCGGTCTTTCCTCAATAGGGCGAAGGCAGATTCACGCACAAAGCTTAAATAAACAAAGAAATCGAGAAAATATTACTATTAAGCATTAGATGTTAGCTGTGCGTTTGCCCTAAACATTTTAATTTTTGTTTACTGTAAAGATTGGAAAAGTTAAAACAAACACCACATTTTACTGACGTCACACCAATCCGAGAATTTAAATCTTTTGGGAATGTTTATGCTGATAAATTCAATTATTTGTAAGTAACATGGAACATTACAAACATAACCTCGCCTGATCTAACCTAATGATTCTTGCATTTTATTACACAAATTGGACCCTTATTACGTAGGTACCATTATGATTAATTGTGTTTAAATTATGTTCTACTAATTTGCAAAACAAAATTATTTTCTATACTTGCTTACTTTATTATAACTAAATTCTTGTAATAAACTACTATATATCACTACGAACCAAGTGACGAAAAAGGATATTTTTAAATAATATTTACGGGCTTGACCTGTACCTATCTCAGTAACGGAATCTTTCAACGTAATTTTCACCAGCTTCAAGATATCCGATGATCTTGAAAATTCTCACACGTGTTAAGGACCGATTGCAATACTATAATCTTACTACTTTGGCTTTGGCCTACAAAAAGTATTTGTTGAAACTATACGTGGTCGCTTATTATTGGTAACATTGCAGGGATCTTTCTCGAAATGCCAACAAGAGTCGAACCAAGCCGTCGAAAGAGATGGAACACGCAAACTATTTTGAAAATTTACTATTTTCCACGTGTTTCATGCATTAATAGCTCACCGTGACTTGAAGTCATGTATCCCTTACATTGCAATATCGACTACTCTACCCTTCAATCTGAAGCGCACCCTTGCTTGGCGATATCAATACACAGGACCGATGCCAGTCCGTCAAGACACAGACCCTTTTTTTTTCCCAACCTAAACTGATAGCCTTGAGAGGCTATTTCAGCGTAACCTTAACTAGTAGGTGAGCTCACGGACTTTTGCAAGTGCACCATCTCGCAGAAGGAGGCGGCTGGGCGCGTGAGAGACGCACAATCCCGCCGCCGTCGAGCGAGGGCCAGGGAGGCGGATTTCGCCCAAGCCCTCTAAGTGTTTCGGGTCCCCCTCACATGTCGGTCTGGGGACCGGCGAGGGGGGCCTAAGAAGACGACGTGCAAGCTGCTCTGCACGCGTTTTACGCAAGAGCATCCGGGTGATGGAAGGCCGGCTATCCTCGGCCCACGCTGATTCTGGTCCAGCGGGGTATTCCGTAGGATAGCTCACTCTAACCAGCGCCATCTAGGTGGGCTTCGGATAGCCTGCCGACCGAGAGGGCTGGTGGTCGTGGCGCCGACGACCGCTGGTCCGGCGTCCCGAGGGGGAGGGTGATGGGAGAGACGTGCTCCGCACTAAGCGCTTCACTTTCCCCCCTCTGCCTATTCATGAGTTCTGTCTCATGCGAGGTTTGGACGTTGGTTGTTGAGCGACAGGAGGTTTTAGTCAGTTCGACTCTGACATGCCCCGCCCTCCATCCCCAGTGGAGGGCGGAAGTCCGGCGATTTCCACCTGACCCAAAAAAAAAATATGTGAGCTCACGGGGCTCAAACCTGACGACGTTGTTAACACGAACCCTAGCAAGAGCCGTGCTTCGCAGAATCTACCACCGGATCGGAAACGCGACCCACTGAGAAGATCCGGCGAGAAACTCAGTGGGCTGTGTCTGTGGGTACACAGCACCACGTCGTATACTTTTGTATCGACTTCTAATCACAAGCCACAAGACATAACCATCTTTATCTCAATGTTTATTCCAATATTTTATTTTATCTGTTAATAATTGTCACGTGAATGTATTACTTACTTCGAAAAGCCAATTCTGTTGGGCTATATCAACTTAATGGGATTTCATATTAAAGTTATGTTTGTTGGAAACACACTTCTAGCGGCTATTGGTTATGATGCCTACTTTATGATCAATTTTATTTTCGGTATGAATCATAATTACTAGAGGTATGACGTAGGTTTGGTATGACTGTGTAGAGAAGAAAAGGATTACACTGAGGTGTCTTAGATAGCACCTCAATACTAGACGGATCTTGAACTTACCTGGACGTCTACAATAATTGTTGCCAACTAATGAATACCTAGGTATCGAACTCGCGCGGCATATTCTCTCAGAACAATTTACTTATAACGATAGGTGTCATACATTAGAAGAAGTAATTTAATTAGCATAGCCATTAACTCAATCCCTTTTTAACGAAAATACAATTCTTCGTAAAATTTGTTTCTAATTACATTTAATTTTGCAAAGAAAACACATGATATGAAAATATAAAAATCAAATCCAGAAAATTTATTTAACCTAATTACTCGTAATGGGGTGTGTAATGAAAGTAGATCATTATGGTAAAGGACTTAGCATCGGGTGACAGGCCGGGGATCGCTCTATATTGGTCACAATAAGCGAAGAGTTTCTAATGAGGACCCCCACAGAGACACATGTACTGAGACAGGCTGACGCATGACTTGCTGCTGATCCAGTCTTCAAGTATGGAGGATTTTTTATGTTTTATTGCTTAGATGCGTGGACGAGCTCACAGCCCACCTGGTGTTAAGTGATTACTGGAGCCCATAGACATCTACAACGTAAATGCGCCACCCACCTTGAGATATAAGTTGTAAGGTCTCAGTATAGTTACAACGGCTGCCCCGCCCTTCAAACCGAAACGCATTAGTGCTTCACGGCAGAAATAGGCAGGGCGGTGGTACCTACCCGCGCGGACTCACAACAGGTCCTATCACCAGTAAAAATTTGAAAACTTATCTGTATATTATATTGGCGTCACCGTGGCCTAAAGGATAAGACGCCCGGTGTATTCGTATCAAGCATTGCAATGTGACGATATTCCGACCCCGCAAGCAGGTATCATTTTTTTTTAAATAAAATACATACTAAACAAATGTTCACAAATGACTTTCACGATGAATAAATCACATCGTATAAAAACGATGCAAAAAGTATAATTCGCGTAATTATTGATGCTCGATTGTCTTGTGGGCACGCACGGATCAGTACCTGCCTATTTTAGCCTTGGAGCAGTTTTGCGTTCGGATTTGGAGGATGGAACAGCCGTTAAGTATGTAGTACAGTTGAGATTTTTCTTGCCCACTCATATTATTTTCTATTTTCGCCGCGAACCTGCATATCGCTATGATAACGATAATGATCATGTATTTATTTTTATTTGCGCATAATATTATTATGTGTGTGCTCATTTTTATTATTATTATCCTTGATACTATTTCATAATTTTTATTTGGTTAATGTAATGATTTTAATTATTTTTTTTGTTGCTTAGATGGGTGGACGAGCTTACAGCCCACCTGGTGTTAAGTGGTTACTGGAGCCCATAGACATCCACAACGTAAAAGCGCCACCCACCTTGAGATACAAGTTCTAAGGTCTCAAGTATAGTTATAACGGCTGCCCCACCCTTCAAACCGAAACGCATTACTGCTTCACGGCAGAAATAGGCAGGGTGGTGGTACCCACCCGCGCGGACTCACAAGAGGTCCTACCACCAGTAATTACGCAAATTATAATTTTGCGGGATTCATTTTTATTACACGATGTTATTCCTTCACCGTGGAAGTCGATCGAGAACATTTGTTGAGTACATATTTCATTAGAAAAATTGGTACCCGCCTGCGGGATTCGAACACCGGTGCATCGCTTCAACATGAGTGCACCGGACGTCTTATCCGTTAGGCCACGACGACTAATTTAATTGTAACTGTCACTGGAACCTCATTCCTCCGAAGTATTGTTACGTTATTCTTTCGCTGCTTGCGCTTTCGAGCTCACGGCCCATCTCGTGTTCAATGATTACAAGAGCGCACAGATATGTGCATAGTTAAATGCCGTCAGACATTGTCAATGTGACAATGTGGCAATCATATTGTCCTACGGCTACTCTTCAGGCTTCGCGGTAGAAATAGCTCATGGCATTTACAAACTTGGTACGCGGGAGTTGCGAACCTTGCCTTCGCTTGGGTGCCCAATAGCGTAGATCCAATAAAACATTACTTAACGAAATAACCTGCGTGAAATTGAGTATAAATTCCCATGGTGCCCATGACGCATATAATCCCGTAATTTCACGTCAATCAAAACTTTACGAAGCCGGCTTCCATGTTTAATGTAGCTTTTTGTTGCATTAACGATAACCAGTTAATCTTCACGTCATAAGCGAGATTGTGTTGCGTGATTTACAAATCAAATATCCATCATATGTTTTATCGATCATGTAAAAATAGCGTGTAACATACGCAAGTTATATCGTTGGATACGGTTATAAGAATCACCTGAAGAGATAGTGTCAGATAGGATCATTACTTAAGAGCAAGGCACCCAAGGTCACAGTTTTTACAGTACAATGGCT